ATACAAATAATTTTTCCATTATCTTTGTCGTTAAAGAAAAAAACTATCGAACAAGTTTGGACCAAAACTCCCATTTGAGAATTATCGCGCTTATAGACAGACAGACGGCCGGACAGTTGATTTAGGCTAGATAGACGTCATATCTCCTAAAACGGATTTCGCCCAAAAGTGACCTCAAGTCTAAAACCTTTATTTCGATGAGACATATTTTGGGCTGTATGAAATGATACATACCCTTTGTAGCCAAAGGGATGAGGTTTGGTTAGGAAAATTAAATTTAAACCACCATTTGGAGGTGGATTACACTGTGCAACACCAAAAATAACACCAGCAGATCTTACGTAACACTCGCTTGAGTGTTAAAATTTTCGACCAACATATTTCTCGTATTTTTGTCTGCAATATTGCCGAAGACACTGCATACCTAAAATGTACGGATTCCAAAGATTCTTAATCCGAAAAATGCCAAAAGTGTGGACGAGGGAAAAACTTGTCCCCTCTAATTTGGTTACTTTTCAATGTTAACTTTGAAAGGTCAATACACCTGTCTCCGTGACTATTGAAAAAAATTACGATAACAAATTAAAAAGTATCAGATGTATACCCTCAGCCAATGTTCGATGATTTTAATATATTTTGACTTATGTTATGATTCAAATTGTTGGCGCTCTATAGAGTAGGTTCCGCAGTGATAGGCCAATATTTCCCATTTCGTATTGAATCTGATATAAATATTGCGACGTGCCACGTTTGGACTTTATCGACTACTTGCTTCACTTTATATGACACATGTGATCATTTTTAGAAAAATGCAGACTTGTTTCGCATGTTACGACAGATAAAAGTACCAGGTGTGAGGTACCAGAAGGGGTTCGTAAATGTATATCATCTTCACATGTCTTAGAGAGTTGGATTCTTCATTCGCTTTCTTTGAGCGTTTCGTTTTTCAAAATCTTGAACCCTTGTGGGGGAGGTACCAGAATAAGTGGTTGTGTTGAGATGTATTAAGTTTGAATGGAATCGAATGTTAATTTCGCGTTTTATGAGCTTCATGGGTATTCAAAATTTTGACCCTTTGTTGGAGAGCTTCCAGAAGCAGCGGACCGATATATTCCATCTTCACTCCTGACCTTGGGTTCATAAAAATGTTGTGATGTGTGTAGTTTGAATTTTGTCATATTGTGGGGGGGAGGTACTTGATGGAATGAACCGATATTATCTATTTTTGCACCTGACCTAGCACTGATGCAAATATTTAAATTTGGGATTACCCTTTGTCTTTCTGTGCAGTAAAATATTACTGCATACCAAGTACCAAGTTTGGACCCATTCGGATAGTCCCTTCGAGAGTTATCGTGCCACCAGATAGCCAGACAGACGGGCGGATGGACATCGCTAGATCGACTGCAAATGTCCTGAAACGGATTTGGTCCAAAGGGATCTAGGATTTAAAACCGTTAATTCGATGAGACACGTTATGGCCATATAAAATAATATAAACTCTCTCTAGACATATGTATAAGGGTATAAAAATGAATTAAGTTGCAAATGTATTGTGCGTAAACATAGTTCGCACCGCCCCTCATCCGTTATTGGTTATTTCCTGTGAATATAGTTTTGTATTTGACATCAATGTAGTTATAGATAACACTAAAAGTGAAACAGCTTTCCTCTCCACGCTCTTCTTGTGACTTACTTCGTTTGTGCATTCTGACGTATGAGTAACATGTTTGTGTCGCCATGTTAAGTATACGTTTCGTAGACATCGTCTTCCTGATACATAACGTTTTTATACCCTCCACCTTGGAAAGAAGGGGATATTAACTTTGTCATTCCGTTTGTAACATCCCTAAATATTCATCGTAGACCCCATAAAGTAGATATATTCATAATCGGCATAAAGTTCTAACGATGCCCGTCTGTCTTTCTGTTCGTCTGTCTGTCTGATGAAATCACGATACAGCCCACATATTTGACGTAAACCTTCAGAATTTTGCAGAAAAATGTGTATTGTGTCTAGATTGATTGGTATTGAAAATGAGATATATCGGTCCACGTTTTAGTATAGTACTGTACCTCCCGATATTCGGTATTTTGAAGATTTTTGCCACATTTTTTCGCGGGTTTATCTAAAAATTGGAATTTGTTGGTCATGATGTGTTCTTGCTCCGGTGGCGAAACATTTTGTGTATAGGTCCACGTTTTGGTATAGACCCCATATACGGGTACCTCGCGATATTCGATATTTTGATGATTTTTGCCACATTTTTTCGCAGGTTTGTCTAAACATTGGCATTTGTAGGTCATAATGGTTTCTAGCACCGTTGGCGAAACATTGTTTGTATAGGACGCCGTTTTTGTATAGCCCCCATATAACGGTACCTCCCGATATTCGATATTTTGATAAAATTTGGTATTTGCAACTCATAATGGGTTCTCTTCCGGTGGCGGAACATTGAATAATTAGTTCCACGTTTTCCTAAAGCGTACATATAACTATTCCCGCCGATATTCGGTATTTTAATAATTCTAGTTACTTTTACCCACATAATTGTCACAAATTTGGTATTAAGAAGATTTGGTAGATGACAATCCTTGAAGTATAAAATTGCTTATCGAGGTTCCCGTTTTGGTATGGACCCATATAACGGCTTCACCCACTTCATGTTTTTTTTTATAAATTTAACTGCATTATGCAAAAGGTCTTACTTTTATATAAAAATTTTTCCTGTACCCTAAGGTGGGGGGTATTGAAAGCTCGGCCCGGCCGAACTTTATGTTTTTCTGCTTGTTATACCCTCCACCATATTATAGGGGGTATATTAACTTTGTCATTCCGTTTGTAACTCCTCGAAACACTCATGTCGGATTGATCAGCGTACAATTCAAAGCCGATTTAGCCATGTCTGTCTGTTGTAATCACGCTATCTTTCGAATTTCGAATTGAGATAGAAGGTTAAAATTTTGCACACATGTTTATTTTTCCAGTAGGCAGGTTAAGTTTGTAAATAGGCCATGTAGGTCCACGTTTTCATATAGCCCCCATATAACGGTACCTCCCAATATTCGGTATTTTGATGATTATAGCGACATTATTCACCGAAATTTGGTATTTGAAGTTCGAAATGGATACTACAGCCTAAGACAGAAAATTGTCTGTGCAGGTCCACGTCTTCGTATAGCCCCCATATAACGGTAGCTCCCGATATTCGGTATTTCGATGATTTTAGCAACATATTTCACCGGAATAGTTTCAAATTTAGTATTTGAAGTTCGTAATGGATACTACAGTCTAAGACAGAAAATTGTCTATGCAGGTATAATGCCGACCGAAATTGTTTGAGACGCGTATTTGAAGTTCGTAATAAATGTTACAGTTTATGGCAGAATGATTATGATGATTCTTGCTACATTATTCAACGTTTATTTCAAGTTTTGAATTTGAATATGGTAATGACTTATGACAAATGTCTATGTAGACCCACGTCGTATAGACACCAATATAACGGCTATATTCGGTATTTTTAAAATGTTAACGAATTTCTTAAGGATTTTATCTCCAAATTCGTTCCATATGTTGGAGGGTATTGAATGTTCGGCCCGGCCGAACTTACTGCTTTTTAACTTGTTATACCCTACACCACAAGGTGGTCAGGGTATTATGTCTTTGTGCATTTGTTTGTAACAGGCAGAAGGAAACGAGATAGACCCATAGTTCCTTTTGATGATCTGCATAGAATCACATTCTGAGTCGATTTATGCATGTCCGTCCGTCCGTCTGTCCCTCCGTCCGTCTGTCCATGTATTTTTGTAAACAAAGTACAGGTCGCATTTATTGCCCGATCCAGATGAAATTTTGCAAAGATCTTTTGTTTGGCCCAAGGACGAACCCTATTGAAATTGGAGACAATCGGCCAAAATTTAGATATAGCTCCCATATATATCTTCGTCCGATTTGCTTTTTATTGTGTACCAAACGTGTAATATCAGCCCGAATTGTATGGGATTTTGCATATACACCCAAATTAGGCCTGGAAATATGTATGCCAAATTTGATCGAAATCGGTTCAGATATAGCTATAGCTCCCATATATATTCCTCATCCGATTTGTTATTTTTGTCCACTGCCGCCGTAATATGCACTCTGCAACAACAATATTTGGGGAAATATATCAAATACAGCTCAGAAATACATTTGCTAATTTTTATCGAGATCGGTTCAGAATTGGATATAGCTCCCATATATAACTTCGTCCGATTTACCTTTTATTGTGCACCAAACGTCTAATATTTGCCCAAATGGGATGAAATTTGGCACTTACGACCGAATTGAGTCCAGAAGCTAGTATGTCAAATTTGGTGAAGATCGGTTAAGATATAGCTATAGCTCCCATATATATTGTTCATCCGATTTGTTGTATTTGTTACCCACAGCCGTAATATGCACTCCGTAACAACGATATTTCAGGAAATATATCATATACAGCTCAGAAATACATTTGAAATTTTTTTTCGAGATCGGTTCAGATTTGGATATAGCTCCCATATATATCTTATCTGATTTTAAATTAATTTTGCACCAAATGGGCAATACAAGTCCGAATTTAAAAAAAAAACAAATGCTTCGGCATATTTTGTCCTTTGAACTTTAAATTATAATTATAATCATAGCGTGTATGATTGAATTCTCCAATAAAAGCTTTTAATTGTTACGTGGAGCTCTACTAAATTAGCAAAGTGGTTTAGGGTATCATAAAGTCGGCCCCGCCCGACTTTAGGACTTTCTTTACTGGTTTTTCATTATGACGTATGCAAAATGCAAAATGCATACATGCGTGTATGTTAAGTATACGTCATACATTTGTAATGAGTCTTTTCTCTTTATTGTATGGGGTTTTCAAGTGTCTGGCACATGTTGGCGTATAATACAAATAAGAGTTGGTCGTTGGTTGGCCCATTATTTTTTTTTTACTTACAATAATAACATTATATTTTGTTAGATCTAGTCAATTGTACCTGATATATTATAAGAACAAAGAAAGCAAAAACACCATTAACAAAAACGCACAAAAAAGAACAATACAACGTATGTTATAAGAGCCTAATTTACTAACGTCGCAACAAAAATCTGTAGTACAAAAAATATAAAAAAAACAACAACAACACAACAAAATTAACAACAACAATTACCCCGAGAAATCACCAACGAGCATTAATTGCCAAACGTGTGAATATTTTACAAATTTATGCGAATTTTTAATGTTATGGAATTTCCAATGGACCCAAAAGAAAATAAAAGGTGCGTCATAAGGATTCGTCAATTTGTGTGTTTTTCTTTGCCTTTTTATGTTTGGCTTTCTGCATATCGATTATTTGTCGTTCATTGCTGTACTGTGCCCGGCAAGCCCTCACTGCTCTCATTGTTTTGTTTCCTCATTCAAATGCCATGTTTGTCATCATAATTTTAAATCACATTAATTCACCCGATTGTTTCCATAAGACATGAAATTTGTGAGTTCAAGATGCACGTTGTAAATAATATACATTCTAATTTCAGAAATTTATACCTTCAATATAGATTTTCGAGCCAATGTCTCATTGGATGAAATCCTCTCCGGGATATTTTTAACCCGATATAGTTCGTCCGTCCATCTGGTGTCCATGTTAACTTTCTGAGTTGAATATTATAATATTTATGCCCTCAGTCCCATGGCTATACATTTGGTCATTCGATTCAACCAAAATGTGTTTCATGGACGAACAACGTTTCAGGAGCCTCATGTCCATCTGTCTGAGCGCACTATAACTTTTGAAAAGATTATCCGATTTATTTCAAACTTGGTTCATCGTAATATTTTTACCAAATTTAGATCGAGTTCGGAGAAGAGCAATATCGCTCCATTCCTTCTGGTATCTCTAACACAAAATTGCCAAAATTTTCCAATAAAAACATCAAAAGTTCACATTGAGCGAAGGGAGTACGCGATATAGTTGAAACTTGACACCCCTCAATATTTGGATAAGACTGACGCGAAAATGGATAATATTGGTCCACTCTTTATAGTACCTTCCCCACAATAGGCCAACTTTTTGTACAATAATAGATCTCGGAAAATTTGAAATATAATTTCGCACCTTCCACTAATTCGGCCAATATTAGTACTACATATTTCGAAAATGGAATATAACAATTTACTCTTCCTGGTACCTTCCCAAACGAGAGCAAAATTTTGAAAAAAACACTAATATTGAGCAAAAGGAGTAGCCAATATAGTTCGGACTTGAGACATTGCAATATTATTTAATCTCACAAATGCCCGCTACTTCGTCAGCGAAAAGTCCACCTTATCATTTTTGCTTCGTTCCAACATTTCAAAGTTCACAATTTCTTCAGTTTGACAAAATTTTCTAATCAAGACTTCATACATCCTACTTAATTTTCAGACTTTAATTTTTTTTTCATTTTCGGAAAGAATAATGGGAAAATATTTACTTTTTATACCAAAAAGTCTTCAAAATCTTTCGTTTTGAAGTTAAGCGAGGAGGATATTGGTAACACCATTGCACAATGGAACTACAACCAATTTTTCTGTTCAAAATTATTTCAACATCTCCATATGTATACCCTAAAAACCAATATTGACCTCAATATCAAATCAGCTCATTTCTTTCACCTAATACCAAGTTTACTAACATTTATTGCACATATCCAAAATAATCATCTCTCCATCCAGTGATCCAAAATTAGTACCATGTGGTACTTTTTGAACAATAATAGTACGCATTTGCCACACCACCAGATCTCCAATACCATATACCTACCAACAGAGGCCTCAAAGCCAAATTTCGGCACTGCAGCTCTATTCCTTTATCCAATACTAAATTCAGTACTACTTAGCACTTTTCGTACCATTATAGTACACATTTCCAAAATCACCTCCATATCTTAACCAAAGACAACAACAGTGACATCTACATCAAATTTCAGGATTTCCCTATCCCTTCGCCCAATACCAAATTTAGTACTTTTCGTACAATTGCAGTACACTGATACCAATACCACAGACCTCAATTTTAAATTTCTGGATTTAAGCTCTATCCCTTCACCCAATACCCAATATAGTACCACTTAGTACTATTCGTACAAATATAGGACGCACCCACCCCCACCATCCCTAAAATCTAAAATATATATACCTTCAGTAGCCTTAACATAAAATTTCAGAATTTTATTTTTATCCCTTTACTCAATATATAGTGTCTTTCAATACATTTCCAAAACCACCTCCATATCTTAACCACAGACATCAACACTGACATCTACATCAAATTTCAGCCCCTATCTCTTTACACAGTACCAAATTTAGCACTTTTCGTACAATAATAGTACACATTTTCAAAACCACCTACATATCTCAATTCCAATTACCAACAGTGACCTCAATATGTAATTTCGGGATTTCAGCCCCATCCCTTCACCCAATACCCCAATTTAATACCATTTAGTACTTTTCGAACAATTATAGTATACATTTTCAAACCAAATCCATATTTTAACTACAGACACCAACAGACATCTATATCAAATTTCGGAACTGCAGCTCTATTCCTTTACTCAATACCTAACTTAGTACTATTTAGTACAGTTCGTACAATTACAGTACATATTTCCAAAATCACCTCCATATCTTAAATACTTCTTAAATAAATTTCAGGATATTGGCCCCACCCTCCGCCTAATAAAATTTAGTACCATTTAGTACTTTTCGTACAAATATAGGTCGCATTTCCATACCTCCGCCAAATGTCGAACACAGATACGATGAGTAATCTAAATATAAAATTTCAGAATTTTATCTCTATTATATATTTATCGAAATTTAGTTCTATATATATCGAAATATAGTTCTATTTAGAACCTTTCGGACTATTGTAGAAAACAATAATGGTACACTTTTCCAAAACCACCTACATACCTCAATTCCAATTACCAACAGTAACCTCAATATCAAATTTCGGGACTTCAGCCCCATCCCTTCACCCAATACCGAATTTAGTACCATTTAGTACTTTTCAAACAAGTTTAGTACACATTTTTAGAACCACATTCATATTTAAACTACAGGCATCAAGATTTTAGTTCTATTATTATCTATACTATTTTACTACTTAGTACTTTTCGTACAATTCTCGTACATATTCCCAAAAACAAAAAAAAAAAAAAAAACATATCTCAATTCCAAATACCAACAAAGCCCTAAATATCCAATTTTAGTATTTTATCTAAACAAATTATACCAAATATAGTACTATTTAGTACTTGTCGTACTATTGTAGACCTACTCTATATGGCAAACCAACCACCAACAGGGACCCCAAAAAATTCCAGCTTTATCCGTTCACTCTAAACCAAACTATTCCAAGTTTAGTACCATTTAGTACAGTTCGCACACATTTCAAAACCCCCTTTCATATACCTAACTTACTTTCCAAACTTGATTTTCATGCCAAATTTAGTGCCATTCTTGAAAATTTTGTAACCTTAAGATTTGAGTTTCCAAATTTATTTGTTACATTTATCCTGCACTTATTCAGTGACATTCATTCCAAATTTCAGAATTCTGTTTGTCCATTCAAAGTATTCAAATTTTACGCACCCAAACTAACTAACCCTCGTGCAAAACTTCAGCCGTTTCGACTGTGCATTGATCTCAGTCTGTCAGTTATTTCACTACCCTCCACCTTGGAAATGAGGGTATTTTAACTTTGTCATTCTGTTTGTAACTTGCCTGAATATTCGTCATAGACCCCATAAAGTATATATATTCATAATCAGCAAATGTCCGTCTGTCCGAACAATTTATATTGTATCTAGGATGGTTGGTATTGAAAATGAGATATATAGATCTACGTTTTGGTATAGTCTCCATGTAAGGGTACCTCCCTATATTCGATATTTTGTTGATTTTTTCCATTTTTTTCACGAATTTGTCTAAAAATTGGTATTTGTGGGTCATAATGGGGTCTAATGTTTCACTTACCCTAAGATGGAGGGCAGTAAAAGTTCGGCCCGGCCGAACACAGGGTTTTTTCTCGTTTGTAACACCTCGAAATATACATTTTAGACCCCACAAAGTATATATATATTCTTGATCAGCATAAAATTCTATGTAGCGATGTCCGTCTGTGGAAATCACTCTAGCTTCCGAACGAATTGAAGTAGATTGATAATATGTTGCACAAATGTATATTATGTCTGCAGGATTCTTGGTATTGAAAATGGGCTATGTAGGTCCACGTTTGGGTATAGCCCCCATATAATGGTACCTCCCAAATTTCTGTTCTTTGATGATTTCACCGACATAATTCACCGGAATTCTTTCAAATTCGGTATTTGAAGTTCGTAAAGGATACTACAGCCTAAGACAGAAAATTGTCTCTGCAGGTCCACGTCTTCGTATAGCCCCCATATAACGGTACCTCTCGATATTCGGTATTTTGATGATTTTAGCGACATTATTCACCGGAATTGTTTCAAATTTGGTATTTGAAGTTCGTAATGGATATTACAGCCTAAGACAGAAAATTGTCTTCGTATAGCTCCCATATAACGGTACCTCCCGATATTCGGGGTTTTAATGATTTTAGCTACATTATTCACCGATTTTTTTTTAGTTTCGCATTTGAATATGACAAAATTTACCTATGTTGGTCCATGTCGTCGTATAGACCCTTATAAAACAGCTATATTTGGTATTTTTAAGATTTTAACAGAATTTTTGAAAGATTTTAAAATGGTGAGGGTAGTCAAAGTTCGTTTCGGCCGAACTTACAAATTGTTTACTTGTTTTAATTGTTTTTTATGTTCGAGTGGCTGGCACCTGTGAGCGTATAATTAACATAGGGCTTTATGTTAAGTATACACCATATTTTAAACCCTTTGAATGCTGTTTTTGGAGAGGATTGTTACTCTTTAAAAAAAAAAAACTTTTTGGAAGGAGCGTTTCCCTGCTATTTTCCAAAAATTAAATTATTTTACTAATTTTATAATTATTTTTAAAATTTTAGCAAACATGGATTTGTAAAATAACACACAAAAAAGAACAACAACTAATATGAATAACAATACCAAACCGAGTCGTTCATTTCATGAACTTTTGCAGATTTTTTCGAATGGAGTTGGTGGTGGGGATGGAGGTATTTCGAAACAATTCTATTTCATTTGAACTTCATTTAGGCTTGGGTGTTCGTCGTAACTTCGCCTCTGCGATAATGAAATTAAAAAAAGCTTTCAGTCCT